TGTCCTACAAACATGCTGAACTCACTTATTAGTTCTTAGGAACTTTTTTTGGTGGAGTATTTGTGATTTTCTCTGAAGGCAATTATATCATCTGTGAATAGAAACAGTTTAATTTCTTCCTTCCAGTCTACCTTTTATTTCTTTTTCTTGCCCAGCTAGAACTTCCAGTATGCTGTTGAATCAGAGTAGGAAGAGCAGATATCCTTGCCTTGCTCCAGATCTTAGAGGGAAAACATTCCATCTTTCATCATTAAATGTGATCTTAGCTATAGGTTACTTATTGATGGTTAAAGAAGTTCTCTCTATATTCCTAGTTTGATAAGTTTTTATCATGAATGGATGTTGAATTTTGTCAAATAGTTTTTTTTGCCTCTATTGAGAAGATCATATGGATTTCCTTTTTTAGTTTTTTTTAATATGGTAGATCACACTGATGATTTTCAAATGTTGAACCAGCCTTGGATTCCTGGAATAAACCCAAGTTTGTCTTGGTTTATTATCATTCTTATATATTCCTGAGTTAGATTTGGTAATATTTTGTTGAGGATTTTTTTTGTGTGTGTCTGTGTTCATGGGGAATATTGGTCAGTAGTCTTCTTATAATGTCTGGTTTTGGCATTAGGGTAAAACAGGTGTCATAAAATAAGTTGAGAATTTTTCCTTAATTTTTAAATGATGAAAAAAATGACTTACAGAGTGCTTACTGTGTGGCATGCAGTGTGTTAAATGAATAACCCACCAAAGACTCACAGCAACTCTGTGAGGTATATGCCATTATTACCATCATCCCATTTTACAGATGGGAAAGTGAGGCACAGAGTAGTTAAAGTCACTTACCTAAGGTCACATAGCTTATAAGTAGCAAAGCCAGGACTCAGACCCCAGAGGTCTATCGCCAGACCTTATACTCTTAACCTGTTTACTAGATTTTCTCGAAAGATGTTTACAGGTGAATGAGAACACATTTGGAGTGCTCAGTCCATCTTACTGGTCACCATTTTCCCACCCCTGGTTAACAGTAACTGTAACTACTGTGTGTCATAGCACTGACTATCTGCCAGGTGACAGACTCATCATCTCCATCTCGCACCAACCCTCACAGGCAGGTATTAACCTGTGCTTTCTTCTAGTTACTGGCTCCCCTTTTGGCAGTTGCAGAAATGCTCCTATCAGCTGGGTGGTGTGTGGTTTCAGACTATCATGTTCCTTACCTTGTCTCCTTTAACATCCCTGGTGCCTTTTAGAAAGTAAAATTTAAAAAATATCTTTCAAATCTCAGTTTAATTTTGCACTGCTCCTTCCTTATCAGCCAGGCTCACCTGTCTTCTCTGCCTCTGTCTTCCCCCCAGGCATCAGGCTCATCTCTTCCTCTTGCACTGCCTTCTGCTTTTTACTGTCTTGTCCTAGTTGGCCCCATCAGTGTCCCCAACTCTACCTTGTTAGCTTGGCTGGCTTATTGTATGCATTTTGAAAGGTTAGAAACATCTTGCTTACTTAAAAGGAAGAGAAAAGAGACAGAGTTTTAGGGATAGCTAGGACACCAATTTTTTCCATTGAGCACATAGCATGAAGGACTGAGGTTAGTTAAAAGAACTTCCTTTTATAATAGTGAAGGCACTATGGTACAATTGAAAGAACAGGTGTTTGCACATTGGCTTGACTGTGTGACTATAGACAAGATGCTCCACTTCTCTGAATCTCAGTTTGCTCATCTGTAAAATGGGTTCAGAGACACGTACAGGTCACAGGGATGTGGTGGGGATTAAGTACAATAATCTAAGTATTTAACATACAAAAATATCCAGTGTGGAGAAGGCAGTAATAAGTGCTTTCCTCAGTCCAGACACTGTGCTAAGCCATTTTATATAGACAATCTTATTTAATATACACTGTGTGGGTAAGTAGATACTGCTGTTACCCTAATTTTATAGGTGGGGAAAATTATGGTACAGAAAGTTAAGAGTTCTTAAGTGGCAGATTCTTAAGAGTTCTTAAGTTCTTAAAGAGTTCTTAACTGCCCATACTTCACATTAGGACCCCCTGGGACCCATTCCAGACCAATTAAGTTAGACTGTCTGGGGCCATTCCTAGAGGCAGGGTATTGGACCACATGCTTTTCCTAAGCTCTTCCTTTCAGTCTGAAGACTAAAGGTGGTAAGAAACATCTGTGCTTTCTCCTAGTTAATGGCTCCCCTATTGCCAAACACTGAGCCACTCCCCATCCACCCCTTGGTTCCCACCCATGTTTTCAACCATCCCTGTGAGAATTTGGAAATGGGTGAGTCCACTGCCAGGAAAAGTGATTCAATTAAAATCTCAGTTTTCAACAATATTACCAAGCCCTGTGGTCTGTTACTTCACACCCAGCATAGCTGTGCATCCCGGTCAGTAGCAGGGTAATGAGGGTTTGCTAATTGCTGGTGGCTGGTGGGGGGGGGAAGGGGGAGGGGAATACTGTAGTGAGCTCAGCAGGAGGAGTAAGGCGCTGAGCTAAGTGCTTTTCCTGTGGCTCCCAGCCCCTTCTCTGGCTCACATGCCAAGCAGCCCCCCGCCCCCCAACCAAATCAGCTTCATGATGACCACAACTGCTGCACCACAGCGGTAATCAGTGTGTGGTGCGTCAGGCCCTGAGCTGAGTGCTTAACTTGCACCATCATCTCCATCAACATTTTTATTTCTCACCATCATTCCAGGAGTTATCATTCCAGTTCCAGTTGCTGTCCTAATGCCTGTTTTACAGATGTGGAAACAGAGGCACAGAGTCACGGAAGGTCCACATGTTAATACCCAGCTTCATTCTGTAGTCTGCATTCTTAGTTACCTGGACATACTTGCCTGCCCTTATGGTTCTAAGAGAATGACTTAAGGATTTTACTTTTGAACCACTTTGCAAGCCATTAACAAAACCATTATCAGCGCATGGTCTTCCTGAAAGCCTGACCTCTTCAGTCATCCTTTTCCAGAATGCTTGGTCCTTCTGCATCTACCACAAACTCTACTTGCGAGCTCCTTGAACTCAGGGACTGTACCTTAGGGATCCCTGAGTCCCTCAGGCACCTCTTTAGCACTTGGCACATAGTAGGTGGCCACAACTCTTAGTACTCATCAATGCGTTCCAAGTTCTCATCCCGATCTCTCCCTCCTTTAAGTCTCCAAATCCTGGGCTCAGCCTTGATGAGCCTGTGCCTAGCACTGTCTGGCACACAATAGGTGCCAATGCTATGGGTCAGAAAGGCCCTTAGCTGGCATAGGAGTTATGCTGTGGAGAAGTGAGGTACCTTGTCTTCCACCTTGAGGTGTTTGAAGGTCTGATTTGTCCCCTGTTCTGCTCATCCTCATGTTCCTGCTCTGGACCCTTGGAGCCTCCCCTTGTCTTTATGTCTCTGTCCCTTAAAGGGTTTTCAGAAGAAAAGCCTGAGAGAGTGGCTACTTTAGTCAGCAGAGGAGATGGAGGGGTGAAGGTGGAGGGGTCAGACTAATTCTGATGTGAGAGCTGAAGGGAAGAGGGGCCCCGTCACTTTTCTAGTTCAGCAAGTGTCACCAATAACCAACCTTCTCAAAAACTCACTCACCTTAAGAGAGCTCTGGGAGAGGCTCAGGAGGGCTGACAGGGGGAGGTGGGGACTGGACCGAAATCAATTCCTGCCCAAGGTAATTACAGGACATGTGCGCTGCCCCAGCAGGGCGAATCAGAGGTTGAGCGTCTCCCAGGGCAGCCAGAATGATTAGTTAGTAATAAAAACCTCATCACTTGCTGGGAGAGAGGTTCAGTGATTGTAAACTTATGCTTTTCTGTGCCTAACAAAATTTGGGAGGGGGCATGTATTTAAACAACCTTATCAGGGCCCCTGACTACCAAGTTGAATGTTTTGAAAAGGAAATCTCAGCAAGCCTCTCAAATCCAGCTCTCAAGTTCCCAGGATCCTGGGATGCGGAATGACAGGGTAGATGATGCTGTGATTCTAGGCTGTACATTGGATTTTTTTCTTTGTGCTTCCTTTTGTCCCTCTCTCATCTCCTTGCAAGTGATCTTTAGGAATCTTTCTGCACACAGACTGTCTCAGGGACTATCTGGAAGAAGGGTTTATCTCAAGCTGGAACCCCAGGAAACCCCTCCCCCTCTCTCACAAATAGCAAGCACCCCCCAGCCCCCAGCAGCTCAGCTCTCTTCAGGAATTCAGCACCAGTCTCAGCCACACTTTGGAGAGGACGTTAAGATGTGGGACCAGCTAGACATCCGCAGCAGTCGTCAGCTGCCCAGGGTAGGTAGATAGGGAAGCAAAGTCAAGGGGCAAGGCATGTCCTCAAGGAGACTGTGACCCCCTGAAGCGGTGGTCTCGGCATTCCTTGTGTGTCTCTGGATCCTTGCCCTGGTCAAAGCATGGTCCCAGAGGCACCCTGACCCTTCTTAGCCTGCCTGGAGACCCGTTCTTCGCTTAGGGGTCACAGGGGCTCATCCCTTGCTCCATCCCAGCGGCCCTAGAGAAAGTGTGCTGGGCATCAATCTCCTGCTTCACCTGGAATTGGGCGGGGACAGCGGTGGGGCACAGGAGCAGAGGTTTCCTCGGGCTGAGGTGGACGTGGGGGGCGACGGGAGAAGTGAAGCCCCCACTAAACCATCTGTTGGCAGGTGCGGTCAGGTCACATACACGGCCCCCACTGGGCACCCTCAGGTACGCGGATCCCTTCAGATGCGCATGCAAATACTCGAATCCACGCGCACACTCACACCAACCCATACTCACACCATGCCCATCAGCTGCCACGCACGCTCGTGACACACACACACACACACACACACACACAGGAGAGTCCCCGCCAGGCCACAGCAACTTCCTTTCCCCCAGTCTGGAAATGTCCGCAGTTGCCCTTAAGGCTTAAACTTTTTCAGAGGGAGCGCCAGGGATCGCAAGGTGAGGATATCGAGGCCTGGGGGCTCTGGGCAGGGTTGCTCCACACTTGGGGCTCCTGGCTTCCTCCCTCTCCCGCACGCTCCTCACCTGGTAAACCGAGGCACAGCAAGAGGCTGTAGTAGACCACGGGCACGAAGCCCAAGCCGCAGACCGAGCCAGGGGACCAAGACAGCGAGCTGTTGGCGACGAGGTGGGCGTGCGTGTGCTCCATGAGCTCGCCCCTCGTTCCCCTAGTCTCCGCGCCCGGCCTGCCAGCCCCGCTCTGGACGCCGGCTCAGTGGTGGCAGCAGCGGAGGCAGCAGCTGGAGCAGCAGTGCCTCTCTTCCCGCTGGACTTGCTTCTACCCTTGGCCGTGGTCCCCTCTGCTCGCTCCGCACCTGCCTGCCTGGAGTCCTGGCACGGCCCTCGCATAGGGCACAGGGCGCTGGGTGCAGGGACTCGGGAGGGGCTCCCAGAGCCGGTTAGTGCGCCTCCTACCTCGGACCTGCTCGGCTCCCGCCTCGGAGACGGGAAGCTGGGACGCTGCTCCCCGCAGCCAATCAGCAACTGCCTGGACGCGGATGATGGGAGAGGGTGTGTGTGTGTGTGTGTGTGTGTGTGTGTGTGTGTGTGTGTATGCATGCATGCATGGGAGGAGGGGGGTCTCAGCTGCTTCTTACAGCTCCAGTTTCAGGAGAGGAGAGGAGTGAGACCTGGGAACCCCAGAGGAAGACCCAGGTGGGAATCGGCTACCCCTTCTCCACCCAATGCGGGAGGGGCGTGGTGTGGGTGGGACCTGCTTCTCCCGCAGCGGCTCCGTACTCCTCCAATGTGTCCTCAGTTTGCCTTTCTCAACTCACCTCCTAGCCACTTCTCTTCCTCCTTGCCAGTGCTCCGAGTCCATCTCCATATAGAGGATTTTCCACCTAGTACATGGGGGGGAAGAGGAAGCTGTCGGAGCGAGGATGCTCAAGGGTTGTCGGTTCTCCCCGGCCAGAGGAGCTGCGCCTGAAAGGAAGTGTATGTGCGTCTCAGTGCGTGTGTTGATTCTGGGGAAGGCCAGAGGTGGACTGTCCCTGAATGGAGTGCCTTTGAAGGGGTTGCAGGCTGGCTAAGAGAAGCCCGCCACACTGAGACCTTCTGTCAGGAATAAGGATGTTGCAACCATTCACACACACACTCCCCCACGCTCACACAAAGACAAACAATACCCAGTCATGTGGGCTCACTCAGGAGGGCAGCGGAGGCCCTTTCATCTCTCACCCAGGCACGTGAAAACACAGGAGCACCCTTATCAACATGCACAAAGACCACACTCACATGACATCCCAGACACACACAAACCCATGTGGGCATCATTTAGGGGTGGTCTAGTTTGAGAGTTGTGTGAAGTATAGGAGAGGTCAGCAGGTGGGACCTAGGCAATCTTGGAGAGTTGGGGTGAATAGGCACCCCCCTTTTTCCTCAGTGTAGGAGGGTGGAGAGTTCCTAGTGCAGCTCTTCTAGAGGCCACAACAGATTTGGGTAGGGAGAGAAATCTGGGGCTCAAGACAGCATGTATGAGAATTAGATTCTGTAGAAATATGGAGGAGAGGCATTTCCAGGGGCTGGCTGTAGCTGCTGCCAATCAATGCAAGAGCATGTGATAGCTCAGAGAATCCCAGGACCCCTCTCTGTTCTGCCCCTGGCCCCCCTACACCCATTCCTGGGGAGAAGGAACTGGCTGGGCTTTCCCCAGCCTCTTTCAGGGCTCCTAAGATGGAGGAGATCCCTGCTTTTCATGCTCAACAAGGGGCATGTGTCCATTCCCCATCATTGTTAGGGGCTCCCCAAGGCAGGCATTGGGGGGGGGGTGGTAGCAAACTCCAACGCAGCCAGGGCCAGGCATTCTGCATAAGGGAGGGATCTGCTGAGTCTAGCTAGGTCTGTGGTGAACAGAGAGGCTTGTGCCCCCCAAATGGACAGATTATTACAAAGAGTCATGTGGGCCTAGCGAGCACAGGTCTGATATTCCAAGCCAAGTTGGATATTGAAATTTTGTTGTGAACTCTCTCATTTAAATGTGACTACCCCGAACAAAAACCAAAAACTCCACTGTGTTGATAAATAAAGCAGTATCATTGCAGAGGTTCAATAAATAATGGTTCAAAACCCTATAGATTAGATTTGTCTGCAGGCAGCCAAACTGAGATGAGAAGCTGGGGCTAAGAGGGGGAGTGTATGTAGTTTGACTAAGCTCCCCCAATCTATTCAGGGACCTCTCAACATTGTGAATCAAGGATAATGCCTCAGGGCTTTTGCACTGGCTATTCCTTCTGTCTGGAGTGCTCTTGCTCCGGAAAGCCGTATTAACCCGCCTCTTCACCTTCCTCAAGTCTTTCCCAAAGAATCCTGTTTAAAATTGAAATCTCCACTACTACCCTACAAAATGCTTATTTCCTCTGCCCTTCCCCTGCTTAACTTTTCTCCATAGTGCTCAGCACCATGGTCATACCGTAAACAGTCTATTTAATTAGTTTTATTTATCTGTTTCCCCTCTTAGAGAGGCAGGGCCTTTTGTCTGTTTTGTTCACAGTTGCATCACCAGCTTCTGTACTGTGCCTGCATATTGCAGACTCTCAATAAACATTGAAAGAATGGAAGGCCCCAGCACCCACTGACCTAAGACATGTAGGGCAAGGGGAGATGAGTTTATCTTTGCTTGTCTTTGCAGGCCAGAGTGTCAGAATGTGGGTGGCTGTGAGGGTTGGGGGGCATAGTCTCAGATTTAGCATGTAATTATCATGTCTGACTAGCCACTCTAAAAATAATTTATGTGGTTTGGATTCTGGGGATCTAGTTAGAAACTCTTTATAAAACTAGAAACTTGGCTGGGCAGAGGAACAGGGCTGCATGGGGAATCTTGATGGACATTATTTTTTTCTGAGCCTCTATTTCCCCATCTATACAATGGGGATGAAAGAAACCAGGTATGCCTTGTTTTGGAGATGTTGAATGGGATGAGAGGAAGTAGAGAGGTGGAAACAGTGCAGACTGTGATCTGGAGAATGGGGGAATTGGGTGGGGTACTCTGCTGGCTCCATGGAGAACCTTGGAAGCCTGTCAAGATCAAAGTTTCCTGGGAAGTGGATGGGTTAGATGAGAAGAACTTTAAGGTCCTAGGTGAGGCTTTTAGTCCTGAGAAGGGACATGTTGAGTCAACAACAAAGTCTGTTTAATTTTGCTCAAGGGCTGAGCCACTTGACTGACTCTGTAAGATGAACATCAACTGTGGTTAGCTAAATTCATTCACTTATTCATTCTTTCAACAGACTTTCACTGAACATTTAATGTGTGTTGATCAGGACTTGCTGCATCATTGCAGGGCCTAATGCAAAAATGAAAATACAGGGCCTCTTGTTCAAAAATTAAGAATTTTAGGGCAGTACAGGAGAGAGACAGAACTATTTATTGTACATTCTTTACTTCCATAAAGAAATATGCTATCTCCCATTTTCCTGGAAATACTTGGCCCTCTTGGTCTAGCCTCCATTTCTCTACCCTTTGATGGAGGCAGTGGTCTAAAGGAATAATTCTTTTCTCTAGGAAAAATGGCAGCACAAACATAAATTGTAACTAACACAACTTAGAGTTGGGAATGCAAAAGGGAGTGGTGGGGACTGTAACAAACTGGAAGTATGTGCTAGCCACTTACTGAGTTCTGGGTATACAGTTGTTTTAAGAAGTTGACATGGTCTCTGATTTCCTGAATCTTAAGTGCAAGACATAGGCATGAATCAATTCATCTGATACACACACACACAATTCTAAACTTGGGTAAGTGCTATCAAGAAAAAGTCAAAAGGGGGGCGCCTGGATGGCTCAGTCGGTTAAGGGTCTGCCTTTGGCTCAGGTCATGATCCCAGGGTCCTGGTATCGAGCCCCACATTGGGTTCCCTGTTCAGTGGTGAGCTTTCTTCTCCTTCTCCCTCTGCCTGCCGCTCCCCCTGCTTGTGCTCTCTCTCTCTGTCAAATAAATAAATAAGATCGTTAAAAAAAAAAAAAAAAGAAAAAGTCAAAGGAATGAGAAAACATGTACCAGTGAGATCTGATGTAGTCTGGCAATCAGGGAAGGCTTCTCTCAGGAAGTGATATTTGAACCTGAGATGAAAAGTGAAGGATGAGTAAGTGTTAATTAGGCAAAGCGATGTGGGGCTAGGGGTGAGGGGAACATCCCAGGTCAGAGGAAAGAGCAAATGCAAAGGCCCTGGGGTGGGATAGAGAAGGACTCTTTGAAGAACTGGAAGACCAGGGAGGCTGGGGTAGAGTGAGTGGGGGGTGGTGCATGGAGCTGAATGTGGTTGGAGAATGGGAAGGGCCTTGCAGGCTGTGTCAAGGAGTTTGGTCTTATCCTTAGTTTTAAGCAGGGGAGTGCCACGATTAGATTTGCATTTTAAAACATTTGCTTTGTCAGGGAGGTGGAGGATTGATGGAAGGGAAGCAAGAGCAGAGGTGGGAAGACAGTTATGAGGCTGATGGTCGGACATGTGCGAAATGATGGTGGCTTGGACTAGGGTGGTATTGATGATGGAGTGGACTGCATCCCGGAAGCTAGGGAGTGAGTGCATGAAGAGAGGGAGGTAGAAAGAAGGGAAGGGAGAGAGAGACACAGACAGAGAGAGACACACACACAGAGACAGACAGGAAAAGAAAGACAGAGACAGAGATGTGGACAGAGGCACAGAGAGGATGGATGAATAGACAGATTGATAGGGGGAGAGACACACACAATGATTATGACTGAGATTGTTCTGGATGGGAAGGTTGGTGAAAAGGGCTTGGAGCTCCCTAGGACCACTCTGCTGACCCACTCTGTGCCCCTACCTCCCATAAGAGTGTAACTTGTCCTCTGGTTTCTCCTCGCTTTACAAGGCTCCTCTTAAGGGTCACCTCATCCTCCAAGCTTTTCCAAGTCCCCTGTACCTCCCTACACTGACACCCATCTTCTCCATTGCTTACCACATTGTGTCCCCACTCAAGGGTTACTCGTTAACTCTACTTCCTGGATTCAGACCACCTTGTGGGCAGGGTAAGTTTCCCTCTTCTTTGAATCTTCAGAATCTAATTGCAGTGTATGTAGTCTACCTTAACAATTGAGGCCTTGAGCCCAGACTTGGGTGTGAATCCATAGTAACTATAGTCACCAGGACTCTTTTTTTAATTGAAATTGATAGAAAAAAGCTCAAACTATTT